ACACTTATTATATCGTTGATCTAGGCAAACTATTCATTATAGGAGTAATTGTCTAGAATAACAGAAACCATACTCTAACCCCATCACTATTCTCCAATTGTAGGGTAAGAGTCATTGGATGTAGGACACCGACTATTGATCAGTTAATCAACAAATAGAAAAATAGAAATAATGCTGTCGCTCGTGAACAAAAAGAAAAGCCTTGTTTACAAGTTAGGCAAACGAAGAACGGGTGGCCCATAAACATGGCAGTCTCAGGATTTTGTGAATATCTTTTTCGGTTTTCATCGCTCAGATTCAAGTTAATTTCAAAAGGCTCGCTATTTGTTAAAGAACTCAATGGAGAAAAATTAGATAAGCAGTACTAAGAAGCTCCAACCTGTCCAATCTTCAAAAGTGGCTTTCCTAAACAGTTTAGCCTTCTTTTAGCTCTTTCATAAGTATGGTAACGCGACAGAGTACGTTTTGGAATATAACTACATGCGCTCCTTCTCACCATGCATACTGGAATTCTTTCAACGAAATATTATGATGCAAACACTGTTTTAAGTAAAATATATTTATTATGTGTTAATATATTGCATATTTAAAATAACATACAATGTTTAAATAAAAGTTAAATAAAATGAATCTAAAATTAGCTGCTGTTATCATATTAGTTATTCAAAAATTTTTACCTATTAATAGATCAAATGTGTAAACACTATCTTGTTAAAACTGAGCAAAAAGCACATAAAACTTTTTTTATTTTGTGTATTACATCACAATAAAAAGCTATGTTCAAATTGTCAAGTTTTAGTCTAATACCTCAATTATTTCTCTTGAAATTAAAATATAAAATCGAAGCTTCACAGATTAATCTTTGGTCGACTAACAGATAGGTTCTGAGAGCCTCAGAATCGTCGATTCAAAACCTTGGTTTTTGCAAAACTTGGAAAAAGAAATAATTCACTTACGCGACAACTATTGATACAAACATTTGTCTAACATAGTTGAATGATTGATGTTTCGAAGTTTTAACGAATGGAATCAAAAAGACTTTTTTATCTGTAAATGTTGAGCGAATTAAAGCTTCATCAAAACGTACTATGCCGCGTTACCATACTTATGAAAGAGCTAAAAGAAGGCTAAACCGTTTAGAAAAACCACTTTTGAAGGTTGGACAGGTTGGAGCTTCTTAGTACTGTTTATCTAATTTTTCTCCATTAAGTTCTTTAACAAAAGTTTTGATGTATTCTTGTATAGATTTGAATAGCGAGCCTTTTGAAACCAAGTTGAATCTGAGCGATGAAAACCGAAAAAAGATATTCACAAAATCCTGAGGCTCTACCACTAATTGATGAGAGACCATTAATTAATATGACATATTTAAACCATTCAGACAGAAACTTTGTAGAATGTTACTTAGAGCTTCACAAAAAAACATCTATTCTTGGTATCGAACATATTAACTGTGTAACCTTGAATATGATCAGCCTGTGAGGCTGAAGTTTATGGACCCAAGAAAAGTTTTCTGTAGAAGCCAAGCGAAAAATTCATTGTTTACTGTTTGACGAGATCTTCCTTCGGACCATCAAGAACTGACTGTTTTCAGGGAAGAGCGTGCATGAATGTGTCGATCAAACTCGATGCGCTCTATCGAATGATTCATTCAGCGGTTCATTATATTGTTTCCTTCGATTTTTACAATTATTTCATGAGTTTTGTTCTCATTTATAGTTTTGCACACATACATTCAGTGGATATCTATTGCATCAAAGATGATTTTTGAATGTCAGTAATATGACTATTTCTATCTTCGAAAGTGTAGGATACATTTCTTGTTAAAGAACGTTTGTTCGGTAAATTAGTGCTCGATTTTTCGGCTAATCTTTTCAATGAGATTGATCAAATCTATCTGTAATCAATAATAATTGATGCAGATATCAGATTAAAGCATGTAACCAATCTAAGCCTATGAATTGAACAAGAGCTCTTCCAAGAGTTAAAAGAACTGAACTTTCAAAATGACACTTTGTACCTGATCACAGCCAAGTAAATGTCGAATACTATTATATGTAAGTAAGAATCAGACTACCATGTCTGATTCTTTCCTTCTAAATACAAAACTCTAACTTTGATAAGATTAGCGAGTATCTGGTAATAAAATTTTGTGGGAAATGTAGTAAGAATGTTATTGTCCCAAAATAGGAATCATATCTTTTATAGGATTCTATAGGATCTCAATTTAAGATTTCTCAAGAACCTGTTGAGTGATTGGATCCTATACTATCTAGTAGAATCCTAATAGGATTTTTTCACCTGAGTACGCTTGGAGTTAACAGATGATTTTTATTTGCACCATATACGAAGAAAGATTCCATTAAATTCGACACAAAAATGTTTCAGGATGGAATCATACAATTTTATCCAAGGCTCTGTTTCTTGGTCAACAACTGTCCATATTCGTAAACATATATAATTTATATCGCAAAGTTCTGTGAGTAATGAAGGAAGAATGGTGTAGAGTTCTAATAAATTATCGATTTCTGCTGATAAATTTTCAAGCGATGGAAACAAATCGCCAAGTTTTTTCACGAATTCATTTTTAAAGTTCCATTTATCAAATCTAATTCTTTAATATATGACAAACGATTATTAGTCGGAATATTTCTGAAATATTCAACATCCAGCTCAAGTGATGTGATATTGTGTGTGTATTTTAACAAATCAAATAAGTCATGATTTTTAAGAAAAAAGTTCAAACGACGAACATTTTTCCAAACAACCACTTTGCCAAGATCATCAATTATTGATAAACATCGAGAATCATCTTCGTCTATTAATGATATTGTCGAAACGTTATGATATCTTCGCTTAGTATCCAAATTAAAATTTGTTAGTTTGATACTTATCTCCTCGACTTTGTTATAAGCATCAATCAACGAAGTTGTGGATGGAACTGTTTCATAATTATTCACGGCAGGAAATAACCATTTACTGTTGTATGGTAATGAATAAAGAAATAATGTTGTATTATTTGGAGAATAATCACATGTAAAATGCCAATTCTTTTTTAACCAAAATTCTGTTAGAAATCCAGCAATGGAATGGTTAATACCAATATCCAATGGTAAAGTAAAATTAGCGTTAACTATTACTAAGTTAAATTTGGATAATAATGGTAATGATTGAGAAATGAGTTTTTCCCAACGTAAACCATCCATATAAGTTCGTTGTGTTGCTACAACAAACAATACATGATATACTCCGTAAAAGAAAGCCTACTTGACACTCAGATATTCAACAACATTATGCTTATTTCTCATATTTTGAACTTTCCTATCTTTTAACGTAAAAACGAATCTCGATACCGCGCGAATACTCCAGTGATTGATTGTTGCGCAAAGCTTATCATGTTCAACATATATCCTAACCAACAATGTAAATTATAAACTGCTTTTTGTGTGTATAAGAATATCTAAACTGGATAATAAAGTAGCCATCTGTCTTTTCGCCACGACAAATGAAGAACAATGTCTTGTCAAACACCAAACCTATGACTCAAAACATCATCAACTTATCTGTCAGTTTCGACTGGACTATAGTCTGTCAAAGTTGTCTTTTAGTAGACGAAGAAATTCAACTTTCCAGCTCACGAATAAGCATCGGTCTTATGATTTCAAGAAACGGTTTAAACCCATCCATGCTGGACAGCCCTCTCGCTAGTGCACATGCGATCAAGATAAAACTTTTAGAGAACTCTAGTTTAGTTCGAAAGAGCCTAAGACGAAATTTTGAAGGCGCAATGTCTTCAATGTTCATGAAATTTTTCTCAAATACAGGTCAAGTTGGACCAACTCGTAATTCCAAGATTGTTTCGTCCAAATGTAGACATTTCCCAATTCGCACTCTAGCTCTAAAACTAATCAGAGAATCAAAAATCGGGATCTATGTTGTAATAACTGTGAGCATTAGTTACAACTTGATACATACTAGAGTTCTCTATTATCTAAGCTCATGGAGAAATATTGGCATTATGAATGCCCTAAAGGAGAGAATTCAGGTCGAGATAGTGTTTACGGCTTGAAACATCGATAAACTCAAATACTAAAGATTTTGATAGCAAATATCAAGGACTATTGATGACATACTTAAACCTTTCAGAAAAAGTCTATATTTCTGATATGGAGCAAGCAAGTCAGATAAGAAAGAAGTTTTTCTCCTTCAAACTTGTCTAGAGGTGAGACGAAGTTATAAAAACACAGTTAGGTCTATGACATCAATAGAGAATGTTTACTTCACTCCTAGAGAAAATGCATTAATCATCAAGTCTATTTGACAATTTTTACTCACGACTAATAGATTTAATCATAAGAGTCGGCCGTGTATCATACTCTGTGACCTGTATCGATAAGCTTTTTGAAAACTCATGCATACAATTCCTATCTGAAGTATAAAAGAATGTTGATTACCTTCACACGATAAATGTTTTAGTTTCGGTAAACTTTTTAACAACCGTTCCAGATTGTCGAATGACGCATGAAAATCAAGAAGTAAATTCACATATCGTAAAGTTTGTATGACTGGTATTACACAATAAAGGCTTCGCTGGTGAGTACTATTCCGATCCTTGAAAGAATAGTAAATATTAGCTGTTAGTTTTTCAAGTTGGGGACATTGCATAAGAAGGCGTAACAGATCGTTAAATGAATACAGACAAACCGTTAAACACTTTATGTTGCATTCATAATTATTCATTGATGATGAATAAAGTGATAATCGACAATATTTCAGCGACTTGACATATCGTTCTCCGAATATCTGCGTGCATAGATTTTTATTCGTTTCCTCATCGAGACTATCGGAATCAATGAATAGATATAACAATTCTTTCAATAATGGCAAACTGATCAAAATCTTGTTCATTCTATCCTTTGATGTTACATACAACAATGTTAAGGCTTTTAATCGATAAAAATTTTCGATCGAGAAGTAAGCGAAAAATAGATCTATTTGATTTGGCGCATTTTTATTCGACAACTTGATTGAAACTACATCATTTATGATACTCGGAATTACGGTCGTATTATAACAATCAAATATTGATTTCTTTTTTATGTATAAGAAATTAATGCACATTGGCATATGACATAATATGTTGCGAAATCTTGTATTCAAACCCGCAAATATCAGAGCTGTCAAATTATCATTATACAGTATAACTATCAACCGCACCAGAAACATCAGACTTTCAGAATTTCCAACTCATCCTTATACCATGTGCGATAGTCACTCTTATAGAGAATGTTAGAATTTCAGAATTTCAGAATTTCAAACTTATCCTTATACAGTGCGCGATAGTCACTCTTATAGCAAACGTTACAATTTCAGAATTTCAAACTCATCCTTATACCATGTGCAATAGTCACTCTGATAGAAAATGTTAGAATTTCAGAATTTCAAACTCATCCTTATACCATGTGCAATAGTCACTCTGATAGAAAATGTTAGAATTTCAGAATTTCAAACTCATCCTTATACCATGTGCGAAAGTCACTCTTATAGAAACTGTTAGAATTTCAGAATTTCAAACTCATCCTTATACCATGTGCAATAGTCACTCTGATAGAAAATGTTAGAATTTCAGCATTTCAAACTCATCCTTATACCATGTGCGATAGTCACTCTTATGGAAAATGTTAGATTTTCAGAATTTCAGAATTGCGGAATTTCAAACTCATCATTATACCATGTGCGATAGTCACTCTTATAGAAACTTGATTGAAACTACATCATTTATGATATCCGGAATTACGGTCGTATTATAACAATCAAATATTGATTTCTTTTTTATCTATAAGAAATTAATGCACATTGGCATATGACATAGTATGTAGCGAAATCTTGTATTCAAACCCGCAAATATCAGAGCTGTCAAATTATCATTCTACAGTATAACTATCCACCGCACCAGAAACATCAGACTGTGTGCGATAGTCACTCTTACAGAAAATGTTAGAATGTCAGAATTTCAGAATTTCAAACTTATCCTTACACAGTGTGCGATAGTCACTCTTATAGCAAACGTTAGAATTTCAGAATTTCAAACTCATCCTTATACCATGTGCGATGGTCACTCTTATAGAAAATATTAGAATTTCAGAATTTTAGAATTTCAAACTCATCCTTATACCATGTGCGATAGCCACTCTCATGGAAAATGTTAGAATTTCAGCATTTCAAACTCATCCTTATACCATGTGCGATAGCCACTCTTATAGAAAATGTTAGAATTTCTCAATTTCGAGCTCATCCTTATACCATGTGCGACAGTCACTCTTAGCAAAAATATTCGAATTTCAGAATTTCAAGCTCATCCTTATACCATGTGCGACAGTTACTCTTATGAAAAATGTTAGAATTTCAGAATTTCAAACTCATCCTTATACCATGTGCGATAGTCACTCTCATAGACAATGTCAGAATTTGAGAAATTCAAAATTTCAGAATTTCAAACAGATCCTTGTACTGTGTGGGATCGTCACTCTTATGGAAAATGTTAGAATTTCAGAATTTCAAACTCATCCTTATACTGTGTGGGATCGTCAATCTTATAGAAAATGTTAGAATTTCAGAATTTCAGAATTTCAGGATTTCAGGATTTCAGGATTTGAAACTCATGATTATAGCATGTGCGATAGTCACTCGCATGGAAAATGTTAGAATTTCAGAATTTCAGAACTTCATACTCATCCGTGTACTGTGTACGATAGTCAATCTTATGGAACATGTTAGAATTTCAGAATTTCAGAACTTCATACTCATCCGTGTACTGTGTACGATAGTCAATCTTATGGAACATGTTAGAATTTCAGAATTTCAAACTCATCGTTATACCATGTGCGACAGTCACTCTTATGAAAAATGTTAGAAGTTCAGAATTTCGAACTAATTCTTATACTGTGTGCGATAGTGACTCTTATGGCAAATAACGAGTGTGAATAATGAGTGACTATCGCACGCAGTATAAGGAAGACTTTGAAATTCTGAACTTCTAACATTTTCTATAAGAGTGACTATGGCACATGCTATAAGGCACATGCAGAGTCGTCCTTCTACTGTGTGCGATAGTCACTCTTATAGAAAATGCTGGAATTTCAGAATTCTAGAATTTAAAAGTCATCCTTATACTGTGTGCGATAGTCACCCTTATGGAAAATGTTAGAATTTCAGAATTTCAGAATTTCAGACTCATCCTTATACTATGTTCCATAGTCACTCTTTCCATAGTCACTCTCTATTCTTATATTCTCTAAAATATTGTTTTTTTTCTTACTAGATGAAACGGATCGATTGATGATTTTTGGATCACAATGGAGTATCTGCTTTTTAGCCTCTTGTTCATTATGGCATTCTGATGGTACGTTTACAGTTCGTCCATTATTGTTTCA